GCCACGCTCAGCCCGAGTGTGTCTGTGCTTTGGGGAAACTCAAGGTGCCCGTGGTCACTGCGGAGGCCCACGCCACAGGGGACATGCAGAGTTTCAAGACCGTCTTGGGAGCCTTGGAAGAACCCGTCGCCGATGTTTGTTGAAAGCCCCAATGATATCTGTGATTGCCGATTCCAGGGTCTCGTGGTGACCAGGAGGAGGAGGAGGACCGCTGGTTACGCCCACTAGGACGACCGTTGGGACACCGCCATGGCCGCCATCGGGACACCCACATTTTAGACATTGGGACACCCTCATTCCAAACCATTTGGAGAAGGCCTGTTTCGATCATTGGAAAACCCCCGTTGTAATCAATGGAACACCCACATTTCAACCATCGAAACAGCCACATTTCAACCATCGGAACACCCACATTTCAACCATTGGAACACCCCAATTTGGAACACCCACATTTTAACCATCCAAGCACCCACATTTCAACCATCAGAACACCCACATTTCAACCATTGAAACACCCACATTTCAACCATCGAAACAGCCACATTTCAACCATCGGAACACCCACATTTCAACCATCGGAACACCCACATTTCAACCATTGAAACACCCACATTTAAACCATTGGAACACCCCAATTTGGAACACCCACATTTCAACCATCCAAACACCCACATTTCAACCATCAGAACACCCACATTTCAACCATCCAAACACCCACATTTCAACCATCGTAACACCCACATTTCAACCATTGAAACACCCACATTTCAACCATTGGAACACCCCAATTTGGAACACCCACATTTTAACCATCCAAGCACCCACATTTCAACCATCAGAACACCCACATTTCAACCATTGAAACACCCACATTTCAACCATTGGAACACCCCAATTTGGAACACCCACATTTCAACCATCGGAACACCCACATTTCAACCATTGGAACACCCACATTTCAACCATTGGAGCACCCCAATTTGGAACACCCACATTTAAACCATTGGAACACCTCAAATTGGAACACCCACATTTCAACCATCGGAACACCCACATTTCAACCATCCAAACACCCACATTTCAACCATTGGAACACCCCAATTTGGAACACCCACATTTCAACCATCGGAACACCCACATTTCAACCATCGAAACACCCACATTTCAACCATCAAAACACCCACATATCAACCATCAGAACACCCACATTTCAACCATCGGAACACCCACATTTCAACCATCGAAACACCCACATTTAAACTATTGGAACACCCCAATTTGGAACACCCACATTTCAACCATCGGAACACCCCAATTTGGAACACCCACATTTCAACCATCGGAACACCCACATTTCTACCATTGGAACACCCCAATTTGGAACACCCACATTTCAACCATCGAAACACCCACATTTCAACCATTGAAACACCCACATTTCAACCATTGGAACACCCCAATTTGGAACACCCACATTTTAACCATTGGACACCCACATTTCAACCATTGGAACACCCACATTTCAACCATTGGGCACCGCAATTTGGAACACCCATATTTTAACCATTGGAACACCCACATTTTAACCATTGGAACACCCACATTTCAACCATTGGGCACCGCAATTTGGAACACCCATATTTTAACCATTGGAACACCCACATTTTAACCATCGGAACACCCACATTTCAACCATCGAAACACCCACATTTCAACTATTGGAACACCCACATTTCAACCATCAAAACACCCACATTTCAACTATTGGAACACCCACATTTTAACCATCAAAACACCCACGTTTCAACCTCGAAACACCCACGTTTCAACCATCGAAACACCCACATTTCAACCATCGAAACACCCCCCATTTGGAACACCCATGTTTCAACCATTAGAACAGCCCAATTTGGAATACCCCCATTTTAACCATTGAAACACCCACGTTTCAACCATTGGAACACCCCAATTTGGATCACCCACATCTCAACCATTGGAACACCCACATTTCAACCATTGGAACACCCACATTTCAACCATTGGAACACCCACATTTTAACCATCGAAACACCCACATTTCAACCATTGAAACACCCACATTTCAACCATTGGAACACCCCAGTTTGGAACACCCACATTTTAACCATCGGAACACCCACGTTTCAACCACTGGAACACCCCAACTTGGAACACCCACATTTCAACCATTGGAACACCGCCATTTTGAGTGTTGAAACACTCTACATTTCAACCTTTAGGACATCCCAAGTTCAACCATTGGAACACCCCAAGTTCATCCATTGGGAAACCCCAGTTCAACCATTGGGACTCTCCAATCTTAACCATTGGGACACCCTAGTTCACCCATTGGGACTTTCCAATCTGAACCATTGGGACACCCCAAGTTCAACCATTGGGACTTTTTAATCTTAACCATTGGGACACCCCAAGTTCATCCATTGGGAAACCCCAGTTCAACCATTGGGACACCCCAGTTCAACCATTGGGACTTTCCAATCTGAACCATTGGGACACCCCAGTTCAACCATTGGGACTCTCCAATCTGAACCATTGGGACACCCTAGTTCACCCATTGGGTCATCCCAAGTTCAGCCATTGGGACTCTCCAGTCTTAACCATTGGGACACCCCAGTTCAACCATTGGGTCATCCCAAGTTCAACCATTGGGACTCTCCAATCTTAACCATTGGGACACCCCAAGTTCAACCACTGGGACACCCCAAGTTCAACCATTGTCACTCCCATATTTTAACTCTGGGAACGCCCCCATTTTAACCATTGCAGCACCCTCCTTGAAATCACGAGACCCACATTCCAAAGGGCACTCCCCCACCTAAGACCGTCCTTCCCCCACCCCGTCCCCCAGCCTAGAGGACTTTCTGTGGGGGACAAGGAGGTATCGCGGGTCCTACACCACAAGGAGCACTGTCCACTCGGTTCACCGAGACCTCCGCCCGCCAGGAGACGGCTCCAGGGTGCTGGGCACGGTGCCCTTGGGCTTCCTGTCTCCGTCTCGCCTCTTTTTTTTTTGGTCCTTTCTAAGTGTTGGCATTTCCCGAGGGCGGGGGGACGGGGACGTAGAACCCGGTGGACGTTCCCCAGAGACACCCGTTCCCTCTGCGCGTGTGTGTGTGTGTGTGTGTGTGTGTGTGTGTGTGAGAGACGCTCCTGGCCGGACCAGCCCCTTGTGTACCTCACCTCGCATCTCCCTGCCCATCGTGCAACTCAAATCGCGCCGAAGAAATAAACGTATCTTAGCCACGAGTCTCCCGGGCGTGTAGGATTGTCTCGTCGGAGACCCAGGGGTGGACATTTGAGGTGGACAGCGGGGGCTGGGGGGGTGAGGCTGTTGGCCCACGTGTGCGACTAAGGGAGCGTGGACAGTTGGAAATCTAAAACAGGGCTGACTCCCTGCTTGGTGCTCAGGGCTGACTCCTGGCTCAGTGCTCAGGGCTGACTCCTAGCTTGGTGCTCAGGGATGACTCCCGGCTCGGTGCTCAGGGCTCACTCCTGACGGGGCTCAGGGTCCATCTGTGGTGTCAGGTCCAGTCCCGTGTCTACTGCATGCAAGGCCACGCCTCACCCCAGTACTATCTCCACGGCCAGATCTGGCTTCAGACAGGGGCCCGGGGAGGAGACGGAACTGGTTCGACAAGGATGGGCAGCTAGCGATGGGGACATGGGATCACCCAGGAGCGTAAACACACGTGTGCAGCATAAAAACACGTGTGCGCGTTGCATGGTTCTGACACGGGGTCTGACACCCGCGGGCTGGTCCCAGCAGGGTTTGGGGCTGCCAGAACGTCCTGGGGGTCCTGGAGGGAGACTCGGCTGTGGCCAGGAGGCATGGGGGACAGCCACACTCACACTCACACTCACACACTCACGTACACACTCACATACTCACATACGCTCAAACACACACACACTCAGTTACACTGACACACTCACATACACGCACATGCACAGACACTCACAGACTCACACAGTGACAGACACTCACACACAGTGAAACACACTGACACACATACACACTCACACAGACACTCGCATATAGACACAGTCATCTCAAACACACTCACATGCTCACTCACACAGACACATATACACTCTCACACACACACGAACACACACTGATACATACACTGACACATAGTCACACAAACACACAGTCACTCACACACACTCATTGTCACACACTCCACGGACACACACTCACATAAACACACAGTCACACACTCACACAAACACACACAGTCACACAGTCACACCGACACACACTCCCATACACACTCACACATACACACACAGACACACACACTCACATACACTCACACACACTTAGTCACACACACTAACACACGCATAGACACAGATGCACAGACACTCATAGACTCACACTCACACACTGACACACACACACACAGTGAAACACTCACACACTCACATATACACGCAGTCACAAACACTATGAAACACACTCATACGCTCACTCACACAGATACATATACACTCACACACGCCGATACATACACTGACACACATACTCACACAGTCACACCGACACTCACACAAAGACTGCCAGACACACTCCCAGACACGCACTCACACATACACACATCACACAGACACACACACAGACACTCATACTCACAGACACACTTGCACATACTCATAGTCACACACAGACAGTGACACACACACACATGCTCACACACGCACACTGACACTCATACCCTCACAACCCCCCCCATGTCCCCGGCAGGAGTCCCGGGTGTCCTGAGTCCTGTGGGCGTCCTGAGAGCCCCATTGGGCGGCTCCGCCCGGGACCCCTGGTGGCGTCTCCCCCGCAGGGCGGGTGTCTCCTGCTGAGGGTGGCGAGGGGCTAGGGGGGTCTCTGCTCCCGGCCGGGGGGGGGCGTCCCGGGGGTCCCGGGAGGGCGCGAGGGTCCCCAGGTCACCCTCGGGGCTTCTCCACAGCAGGTCAGGACGTCGTCAACATGGAGAACCAGCACAGGACCAACGCAGAGCCGCCCGGTGAGACCCCGACCCCTGACCCTCAGCTGACCCCTCAGCTGACCCCTCAGCTGACCCCGGGCTGCCCCTCACCTGCCCGCCACCCCCAACACTGACCCCTCAGCTGACCACACGCCTCTCCCCTCCCTCTTTCCTTCCTTCCTTCCTTTCTTTCTTTCTTTCTTTCTTTTTTCTTTCTTTCTTTCTCTATCTCTCTTTCTTTCTCTCTTTCTTCCTTTCTTCCTTCCTCTTTCTTTCCTTCCTTTACTCCCTCCCTCCATTCCTTCCTTCCTTACTTCCACCCTCCCTCCTTCATCCCTTCCTTCCCTGCATTGTGCTGTCCTTCATTTCTTCCTCCTTTCCTCCCTTCCTTCCTTCTCTCCTTCCTTTCTTCTTTCCTTCCTTCCCTCTTTCCTCCCTCCCTTCTTTCTTCTTTCCTCTCCTCGTTCCTTTCTTCCTGTCTTTCACCCTCCCTTCTTTTCTTCCTCCTTCCCTTCCTTCAATCTTCCTTTCCTTCCTTTCTTCCTTCCTTCCTTTCTTCCTTCCTTCCTCCCACCCTTCCTCCTTCATCCCTTCTTTTCCTGCATCATGCTGTCCTTTGTTTCTTCCTCCTTTCCTCCCTTCCTTCTCTCCTTCCTCCCTTCCTTCCTTCCTTATTTTCTTCCTTCTTCCTTTCCTTCCTTTCTTTTTTCCTTCCTTCCTTCTCTCCCTCCTTTCTCCCTCCCTTCTTTCTTTCCTTCCTTCCTCTCTTCGTTCCTTTCTTCCTGTCTCACACCCTTCCTTCTTTTCTTCCTCCTTCCCTTCCTTCAATCTTCCTTTCCTTCCTTCCTTCCTTCCTTCCTTCCTTCCTTATTTTCTTCCTTCCTTTCCTTCCTTCCTTCTTTCCTTCCTTCCTTTTCTCCCTCCTTTCTCCCTCCCTTTCTTCTTTCTTTCCTTCCTTCCTCTCTTTGTTCCTTTCTTCCTGTCTCACACCCTCCCTTTTCTTCCTCCTTCCCTTCCTTCAATCTTCCTTTCCTTCCTTCCTTCCTTCCTTCCTTCCTTCCTTTTCTTCATTCCCTCCCTCCATTATTTCCTTCTTCCTTCCTTCCCTCCTTCCTTCCCTTCCTTCTTTCCTTCCATCGTTCCATCATTCCTTCCTTCCCTCCCTCCCTCCCTTCCTCCCTCCCTTCCTTCTTTTCTTCCATCCTTCCATCCTTCCTTCCCACCCTCCATCTCTCCTTCCTCCCTCCCTTCTTCCCTCCCTTCCTCTCTCCTTTTCTCCCTCCCTCCCTCCTTCCCTCCCTCCCTCCTTCCCTTCCTTCCTTCCCTCCCTCCCTCCCTCCTTTCCTTCCTTCCTTCCTTCCTTCCTTCCTTCCTTCCTTCCTTCCTTCCCTCCTCACCCAAATTCTCGCGGAATCCTTTCCCACAGAGAAAAAAACAAAGACAGCCCCTGCTGGGGTCCCTGAAGGAAGGGTCGGGGGTCCGGGCTGGCGTGAGCATCTCCGTCCACTCCCCTTCTCCAGGCCATTGACCCCCGAAGATCACCGATTCCCAAATCACCCTCAGGGGGCCCTGGGCTGCCTCCCGCAGACCCCCGGAGTGTGTGTGTGTGTGTGTGTGTGTGTGTGTGTGTGTGTGTGTGTTGTGCCTTTGTCCAACCATGTCTCTGTGCCCCTCACAGTCCAGCAAACCCTCCTGAAAAGATAAGAATCACCGCCCTGAACCCAGACGCCGGAGTTCTGAACCACCGCTGCGCCGGGCGTTGGCAGACAATCACCCCCGTGCCTGTTCCCCGCGGAGGGCCAGTGCCCGCCAGACCCCCTCCTTGGGCCCTGGCACCCGGCCGGCTACAGCTGGGGGTCTCCATGACATCATCCGGACCCTCGGAACCTGCGAGCCCGGCCCTTACCCAGGACGAGCGTTGCGTCCACGCCTTCAGCTTCTTTGGGAGCCTTTGGGGGTTCCCGAGTGCGATATTCCGGGCACAGTGATGCCCACGTAATGCCAACAGACCCTCCCCACAGAAGCCTTCCTCGGAATCCCGGGGGCCGACTGACCCTCACCTATGGCCCCCCGCAGCAGGGAAGCCGCCCCCCCCCCCGCCCCCGCAGACCTGCCCAGGGAGGGAGGGAGAGAAGGAGGGAGGGAGGGAGGCCCTTGACCATCCCTAAGTGCCCACTGGCCATTTCTTAACACTGTTGGGGGAATCACTACCCCAACACCAGACAAATAAAAAGAAACAAGAAACTGAGTGCGTTGTCTATTTTGTTGTGATTTTTAGACCAAAGAGTCTCCAGGGTGTCGCTCTTTTTTTTTTTTTTTGCTTTTTGGGGTCCCACCCGGCGATGCACAGGGGTGACTCCTGGCTCTGCGCTCAGGAATCACTCCTGGCGGTGCTCGGGGGACCCTAGGGGATGCTGGGAATTGAACCCGGGTCGGCCACGTGCCAGGCCAATGCCCTCCTCACTGTGCTATCGCTCCAGCCCCTCTCTCTTCCTTCCTTCCTTCCTTCCTTCCTTCCTTCCTCTTTCTTTTCTCTCTCTCTTTCTCTCTTTCTTTTCTTTCATTTTGGGTCCCACCCGGCGATGCTCAGGGGTCCCTCCCAGCTCTGCACTCAGGAATCCCTCCTGGCGGTGCTTGGGGGACCCTAGGGGATGCTGGGAATCGAACCCTAGTCAGCCATGTGCCAGGCAAATGCCCTCCCCACTGTGCTAGCACTCAAGCCCCTATCAGTGTTTTTTTTAAAAGAAGAAGAAGAAAATAGGGTTCGATTCCCAGCATCCCATAGGGTCCCCCAAGCACCACCAGGAGTAATTTCTGAATTTCTGAGTACAAAGCCAAGAGGAACCCCTGAGCATCGCTGAGTGTGACAGAAAGAAAGAAAGAAAGAAAGAAAGAAAGAAAGAAAGAAAGAAAGAAGACAGAGAGAGAAAGAAAGAAAGAAAGAAAGAAGAAGAAAGAAAGAAAGAAAGAAAGAAAGAAAGAAAGAAAGGAGACAGAGAGAGAAAGAAAGAAAGAAAGAAAGAAAGAAAGAAAAAGAAAGAAAGAAAGAAAGAAAGAAGAAAGAGAAAGAAAGAAAGGAGAAAGAAAGAAAAAAGAAAGAAAGAAAGAAAGAAAGAAAGAAAGGAAAGCCCATTTAATACAGCATAAAAATTTTCCAATTCTCATGTACATATATGGATTCTCAACTCTGGAATCCAAAGCATATTACATTAAATCATTACATTAAATTCTCTTTTATACTGGAATCTCCTGGTGGTTATCATATGGTCATAGTTTATTTCTTAGCAAAACTATATTTATAAATAAAATATTGTTGGGTTTTTTTTACTTTTTTGCTTTTTTTGGGTCCCACCCGGCAATGCTCAGGGGTCCCTCCTGGCTGTGCACTCAGGAATCGCTCCTGGCGGTGCTCGGGGGACCCTAGGGGATGCCGGGAATCGAACCCAGGTCGGCCTTGTGCAAGGCCAACACCCTCCCCGCTGGGCTATCGTTCCAGCCCCCAAATTATTTATTTTTAAACCGCCAAATTTTTTTTTTTGCTTTTTGGGTTCCATCCGGTGATGCGCAGGGGTCCCTCCTGGCTCTGCACTCAGGAATCCCTCCTGGCGGTGCTCGGGGGACCCTATGGGATGCCGGGAATTGAACCCAGGTCGGCCTCGTGCAAGGCCAACGCCCTCCCCGCTGGGCTATCGCTCCAGCCCTGGAGGTCGCTTTTTAAATTTTTCCATTTTATTTTCATGGACTTTGTTCTCATGATGGTGAACGGTACCACAGGAAACACCAAATCCCACCCACCCTCACAAAATCTTCCCAGCACCCCAGTGTGCCCCCAAGGCAGATGCTAAACCATTTACTTTGTATCGCTGGTTAGGAAGCTGGCTTGAGTGTTGCAACATTGTATCACTGAAACCCCATCCTGGACAACTTTGTAACTGTGTATCTCCCAGGGATTCTATTGGAAACCTAAATTCAAAGAGACAAAGGAAGTCCTGGTCCTCTTCACTAAGAAAGTGGTGCGTGGGTGTCATTCCCATACTAGTTTTATTCACATGGACTTATTATGTGGACGAGCATTGTAATTAGTATGATATTATTAGCATAATAATAGTTATTATAAAATGCATATTCTGGCCCCCGTGGGAAGCATCTCCTTATTCCCAAACGAGAACTGTATATTCATAAACGCAGACGAATAAGAGGCATCGTGTGATTAATTGTAACGCTGTAATTGTGATATTAATCAGTTATTATAAGATTATGGTTTTTTTTTCCCATACAAGTGTTACGGATTATTCCCACAGCTCTTCCGGAAAGTGGTGGGACTTCTCAAGCGCTCAATTTCTCTTCAAGAATCCAGCCGTTACCTCCCCCCCAGAAGGCTTCAACAGCCCCTGATTTCTCTATTATACGTTCATTTGAAGAGAAATACTTTTTTTTTCCCGTGTTTTGGGTTTAGATATACTATCAGGGGCTGAAGCCATACCACAGCAGGGAGGACATTGGCCTGGCACGCGGCCGACCCGGGTTCGAGTCCCAGCATCCCATAGGGTCCCCCTGAGCACCGCCAGGAAGGATTCCTGAGTGCAGAGCCAGGAGTCAGCCCTGAGCATCCCCGGGTGGGACCCAAAAAGCAAAAAATAAATAAATAAAAATTTAAAAAGTGATGATAAAAATTTAGAGGCCAGAGTGATAACCCAGCGGGGAGGGCATTTGCCTGGCATACGGCCGACGCGGGTTCGAGTCCCAGCATCCCCTAGGGTCCCCCCGAGCACTGCCGGGAGAGATTCCTGAGTGAAGAGCCAGGAGGAAGCCCTGAGCATCGCTGGGTGGGACCCCAAAAAGAAAACAACAACAACAACAAAAAAGAGAATATCCCGGTCTGCCACAGAGTCTCAATTCAGCATCGTGGCATTTCCTGGTTTTTTATTTTTATTTTTTTTTTAATTAGTGAAACACCGTGAGGTACAGTTTGTAGATTTACAAATTTTTGTGCTTGGGTGTCAGTTACACAATAATCGAGTCATTGGTTTTTTTAAGGCAAGGTAAAGGTAAAGGTTTTTTTATTGTTTTTAAATTTATTTTTAAATTTTTTTATTATTATTTTTAATTTTTATTAGTGAAACACCGGGAGGTACAGTTGTAGACTCACAGATTTTTGTGCTTGGGTGTCAGTTACACAATGATCGAGTCATTCGTTTTTTTATTGTTTTTTATTTTATTTTTTAAATTTTTTATTATTATTTTTAATTTTTATTAGTGAAACACCACAAGGTACAGTTGTAGACTTACAGATTTTTGTGCTTGGGTTTCAGTTATACAATGATCGAGTCATTGTTTTTTTTATTTTAATTTTTAAATTTTTTTATTATCATTATTTTTAATTTTTATTAGTGAAACACCACAAGGTACAGTTGTAGACTTATAGATTTTTGTGCTTGGGTTTCAGTTATATAATGATTGAGTCATTGTCTTTTTTTTTTTTTTTAGCTGTCAGCGAGCGATTTGATTTCTCCAGGACCATCTGTTTTCTTTCTTTCTTTCTTTCTTTTTTTTTTTTTTTTTGCTTTTTGGGTCACATCTGGCGATGCACAGAGCTTCCTCCTGGCTCTGCACTCAGGAATTAGCTCTGGCGGTGCTCAGGGGACCCTAGGGCATGCTGGGAATCGAACCCTGGTCGGCCACATGCCAGGCAAACGCCCTCCCCTCTGGGCTATCACTCCAGCCCCTCTCTCTTCCTTCCTTCCTTCCTTCCTTCCTTCCCTTCTTTCCTTTCTTCCTTTCCATCATCCATCTCTTCTTCCCTCCCTCCCTTCCTTCCTTCCTTCCTTCCTTCCTTCTTTCCTTCCTTTCTTCCCTCCCTCCCTCTTTCTTTCTTTCTTTCTTTCTTTCCTTCTTTCTCTCTTTTCTTTCTTTTTGGGGTCCCACCCGGTGATGCTCAGGGGTCCCTCCTGACTCATGCACTCAGGAATGACTCCTGGCGGTGCTCGGGGGACCCTGTGGGATGCTGGGAATCGAACCCGGGTCGGCCATGTGCAAGGCCAACGCCCTCCCCGCTGGGCTATCGCTCCAGCCCCAATCTGTTTTCTTTTTTTTTAACTATAAATTTTATTATTATTATTTTTTTAACTATAAATTTCATACTCATATTTTCCGATCTGTTTTCTTTGGAGGCGGAGAAAAACGACTTCCCCCGGTCGACGGGTGTTCTTCTTGCTCAGGGCAACAACTTGTGTGGTTGCGGTGATTGCCGAAACATTTCACACAGGGCCTGAGTTGCACACACCCGCCCCGACTCACACGCCCCGCCCGCAAAGGGAAAATCCCGCCCCTAAATTTCTCGGCGTTTTTCTCAGTTCTCCAGGGGGATGTGGGACGCCGCCCCCCTCCGGTAACTCGCTGAGCCTAAAAAGACATGCAAAGTCACAGGGGTTTTCTTGGTGTGTACACACAACACACACACACACACACACACGTTGTCTTGGGAGGTCTTGGTTGTGAAAGGTTTGGAGTCTGCGTTGCGACACTTCCCAAGACATGCCCTGGTGCCCGTTTTCCTCCCCGGGTAAGTTTTCTTGGCACTGGAGCACAATTAAACGGGCGGGCGGGTTCGTTCAGGCGTGTTCGGGGTTCGGGGCTGTTGACTCAAGAGTGAATTCCTCTGTCTCTCTGTCTCTGTCTCTGTCTCTCTGTCTCTCTGTCTCTCTCTGTCAGTCTCTCCCTCTCTCTGTCTCTCTCTGTCTTTGTCTCTCCATGTCCGTCTGTATATCTCCTTGTCTCTCTGTCTCTCTCTGTCTCCCTGTCTCTCTTTG